ACATCGTTTGTCACATGATACCCTTAAACGGTACGAACGAATAAGCATCCTTCTTCTACGCTGTTTGCACTGGTAAGTTCTCCATGGGGGTCTGCTATGGGTCTGAATGAATTTCTCCGGGTACCCATTAGCTAGCAGGGTTCGGTATAAAAATGCTTCTTCAGCCTTCAGCATTTCCAGACTTCGAATTCGCCTAACCCTGTAAAATAGAATTTTTACGTGGCTGCAGTTGTATGCGACTGGGACGAAGCTGGAAAAATGTAGCTATTGACCCCCCAGGTCGCTTTTCTGTACATAATGCGCTGCAATGTGGCATCAGTCCTTCTCTTATTGAGCATGTCCAAAAACGGCAAACTGCCCTGTTGTTCCTTCTCTTGTGATGCAGAAAGGTTAGGGTGAATAGTGTTCATGAAAGCAAAAACCGATAAAATGTTCAACATCAGTGAAGTCGAGAATGCCGTTTACATAGCGCTTGCAAAGTTTGCTTAACATATACAGGTAGTAGCTTTCCTTTCGATCATGCCCGAGAAGATACCTGCCAGAACTGGGCCCAGCGGACTACCCATAGAGACACCGTCGATCTGTTTGTACGCCGTCCCTTTAAACTCAAATCGCACATTTTCAGTGCACAACAGGATCAAGTCTTTCAGGTACTCCAGAGGAAGGCTCATAGAGTGGTTCTGACTCAAAAGGAATTGGCATAGATGGTCGACCGTTTCACGCAGCGGCATATTCGTGAACAGCGAGTCCAAGTCTATGGAATACATGAGCTCTGGGTCGAGCGTTGTTTGTTCTAGTATATTGGCCAATTCAAAGCAGTCTTTCAAACAACTCGTGGTCAGGAGGTTAAGCACGAGTTCTAAGTGCGTTGCGAACCACCGGGCTAGTTTGTGATACGGTGAGTTATTCATGCACATTATTAGGCGTAGTGGGATCCCCGCCTTGTGCAGCTTCGGCGCACCCCTCATCATTGGTTTTTCCAACTCTGTCGGTTTTAGCTGCCGATGTTGCGGATCGGAGCTACAATCATAAGGCAATTTGTTTCTCCACCGAAATCTTGTAGTCCAGCGTCTTGTCAATGCGAAACTTGCATCCGTCTTCGAGAATGGACTCCACTTTTGAGATGCAATCAGCTATGTCTATTATCACCATATCCGTTTCTTTATCCGGCTGCAGGAAAATTACGTGCTTCAGATTCTTAACTGCCATATATTTATTCCGACTGCAAGCAACATTTTTGACTAGTAGGCACGTTCAAGAGCTGGTTCGAGGTATCCACCAATTTCGTTCTTAACCATCTTGCATCATCCGCCGATTTTGGCGTAAAATCGCTGGATCGCTCACACTGATATACAAAATTAACTTGTGTGTGGAGCCACTTCACCTCAGGCGGTATTCGGTATTTCAATCTCAGCTAAAGAACTTCCAATTGTTCTCCCATGAACCGAGCTGTTAACAAATTGTACACGTGCTTCTGGGACTCGGTAGGGAAAGGAATGGTGGCTGCTCTCACAAGTATACTTTGAAGGCTGCGCAATGTCTTGGTCCTAGTATGCTAGAGAGTTTCGGCAGAGAAGACCTCAAATTTGAATCGGCAAACTGAGGTAATCAAATAGATTGCTATGGACCTGGTTACGTCATTCACGCTAATTTTGTGTGTTTATCAATAGTACTAAGTGAGAATCGTATTTAACGCATATTCTGTTCTGCCTGTATTGCGTCGTGACTGACGAGAGTACTCGAAATGTTAACATATCCCAAACTATGTCTTCTGACTGCGTTAATGTAGTAGTTGAAGGGACTCAGTGTTTCAAGTTTCTTAAAAGAAGACTACTGCATACATTTGTATTGACTGAAAGTGGATCTATCTGCAGTTGGGAAGTTGAAAATTGGAACATGGTCATGTACATCGCGATCAGCTCGATCATTGAGATCGCAATGGTCCACTGAAATGCAACTCCCTCTTAACGGAAGCAAGTCGGAGTTCATCAGTATCACCAGACGTCCAGCCACTCGATCATACACCTTGGACGGCCAGTTGCTCCATCCCAACACATCTGTCAGAGACTTAGTTCTCTCACATGATATGAGATCACTTGAAAATACAGAGAAATTGTACCATGCGGGACTTCGTATGCTCTGGGAATTAAGACGCAGTTTCTCCACATGGTCCGAAGAAACTGTCCCTCGTCTATTCACCTCGCTCATTAGACCAATCCTTGAATACGGTGCAACAGCTTACCATCCGATAACCCAATGGGAAACTGAAAAGCTGGAGAAAATACAGCATATCGCAACTAGAATGATACCGACCCTACGAAAGCTTCCGTATGAAAAACGTTGTGAAAGGCTCGGACTCTACACACTATCCTATCGCCGAGTAAGAATTGACCTTATTATGACCCATCGAGTACTACACTTGAATCACTTCCCCATACTGCGGCCAATATTTCACCTGCGGGAACCCTGTAGCACCCGAGGACATCGTTACAAACTTAGGGTCCCCAGCATGAACAAAGTATCACATCAGCTTTGTATCGAACGAAGAATCGTAAACTTATGGAATACACTGCCTGAAGGATTAATAGAGGCCGAGTCTGTGAAGTGTTTTAAAACCCGTATCGACGATTATTTTGGAAACCTGTGCTTTTGTGAAACGATGCACATACAGAGCCAAAAGAAGACATTGTATGCCCGGAAATAATGACACTAGTACAAATTTCTGACCGAACAAGGATAAACGATTAGCGGACCAGACGCAGCTGCTGATAATTCACAAGTAAATTTTGATTTTTCGTAACTCGATAGAGTTGTACAGAAACCTTTCTATTTGCTCTTAAATACAGTCGCAGTCTATTCAGAATTTCCGCTTAAATTCTGTATTCATGCACAATTGGAAGAGCTTGTAAAGTTAGCACACGGAGTCCCGATCTACCACTATATGCTGAAAGTCAAATGCAAATCGTCGTCTCACCGTACTCACTATGATTTACTATGCGGTACTCGGTATAGAATACTTCCTAATGGATGGACACGCGACATACACGGGGTTTCACGAAAGTGATGTTTCTACTCAAAGCCCTTATTCCTACTACGAGCACTGAGTTGTTTGCAACCGCGTTAGACTGTTTCGGTGTAATACATCTGTATCGCTATGTACGTACCAACACTCTTTGGCACGTCTGCACGATGTATGCACGTGACCAACGTGCGTGTCTCGCAGTTTAAAATTGTAAAAAGGTATTTGTCCTCGGCTATACTGAAGGGATGTTCAGTCGTTTGCAGTTTTGTTTGACAGACTCATTGGTACGCCGGTAACGGCGAGAGATCGGCTTGGCAGTAGTACCCATTATCGTCTGTTTGTTCTAGTCGTGGTAGTTGCTATTGTGGCCCTCAAACTGCCCCCAAAGCCAAGCTCATTTCGGCATCGGAATGGAATACAACAAAGTGTGCTCATTATGATTCTTAGGACCGTGGGCACAAGCGTAATATGATGTTGTGTACACATCTAGTGTGAAACCCAAGGGCTTCAGTTTTATCCAACCTTACTCATGTGATGCATCTCCGACCAGCGTCTGGAATCGTAAATATGAGAAGTGCGCAGCCGAACTTGTGTCAGACATGCGAAAATTCTAGAGAGAAAAACCTAACCTTTCGAGAGCATCAGTCCTTCTTGGTTGCTTGAGTCTAGGATCATCGCACACATCCATTTACGTTTTTTCCTATGTTATGCACAGAGCTACCTGACACAGTAGGGACGGAACGTGGTTAGATCAGTTAAGATTATTTCCATTCGTTCGAAGGCGTTTTAGTTTTTACCTGCTGGCGGGGTTCCAGGTCGCATGCAGAGAGGGCAGGTGCTACAGTATCTATTTGCGAACGACTAATGGTGTGCGGAGTAAGCTATTTTTGAGAAAAAGCTAACGGACCACCTGCGAGTCGTTGATGTAATGTGACTGGTGGAGACATGTGCCATACAATTATGGTAAATGGTGTCGTGTCAGCTGAACAGTCGCGCTCGCCTACTGAGCTATGAAGCTTTCTCTTTCTGAACTCATGGCAACAGCGTGAGCTGTGTGCAGTTACTCATTCCATGTCCAAGTGCAGCTTACAGTGAAAGAACTCCTTGTATGTCGACACAATACATACTTCCGGACGATCCGTTCTCACGCTTGGACATCAAATGTAAACTACGGATTGGAATTCAAACGATAACTTGGACCGGAAGCCCTGGAACACCTAGTTAAATGACTGCGAAACGGGATAAGCCAAAATTTAGAACGAAGCTTACCACTGAACATCAAAAAGAGAGGCACAAACAGCATACCTGTCCTATTTTGAAGTTATCTATCTGGTTGCACGCATACAGAAATCTTCAGAGTTCTTAGTTTCCCAGGCTAGGCGTTTAGTTTTTGGAAGTCAAATAAAGAGGCTGCAACAGACGGCTTTTAAAGCGCCATATAAAATTCAAGGGCCAATAGCCGTGCGAGTGTTTTGTTCCTTCCCTGAGCACTCAGCCAAGTTGTGTTTGAAGTGTGCGAAGGCACGTACACTAGGATCCTCGAAGTGATGACAATGTTTCATCACTGAACACAATATACGGTGTAACTTGGTTGTAAAGTAGGAGACTGTCATCAGGTGCTTGCAGTTCAGCCATGACACTTGCCAGACCCTCGAGCAACCAAACTGAGAACAAACGACTGATGCCGTTCACCCAAGATTAGAGGGAAGGCAAACACTTTTTGTTTGAACGTCAGGTGGGAGGCTGTATCACTATGCGTCACAATAGCTGAGGTGTGTCCCACCTGCAACTGACGTGTAGAATAATGAATGATGTATCACCCACATTTCCTTACTGGTCCAGGTCGACGCAACGTAGAAAGACCGTAACTGATTTCATTGGAACAAAAGTGTCAACTGAAACTCTCTCACGAGGGAAGCGGTCGAGTTCTAGTTGCAACATTCCCGTATCCATGGCTACATCAAAAACACCTGCATTTAGAAACTTGTGGAATAATAGGGATAAACTGTGAAACCGCTCGATAAAAATGGTAATCGCGCCGTATAGCAGTTCAAACAGTTCGAGTGTTTGGATTACATTATATTCGGGATCGGGATAGAAAATTGTTGCAGTCTCTAGACAGTTGCTTCGGGCTGCTTTGTAATTCGGAGCTTGCGAGTAGGAGGTGCGACGGGGGAACTTCAAACAGACACTATTCCAACAGCTACAAGGAGATCCAAAGCCATAGTTACATTCAGTGGCAGAGTGACGTTAGAAAAAGGTTTCACATGAAGTGGACCAGCTTCCAGTAGACCGAAGTAAAAGGTGAAGAAGAAAAAACCGAAAAGTGTGAGTGACAACAGAGCAGCAAGGCCCACTCGAAGAATGTACTTGTCCCTGCGGCTCTGGTCCAGGCTAGTGATTCGATGTGCATCAATTGCTTGAGTTTTGGGGAGACTGCGTTGACTTCCTGCGTTTGAATCATAATCATCCGTCTTCTCATTACATTTACCGCAAGAAATGCAGCTTAGGAAGCGTCGCTCTTCGTCTAGAGGACAAGGACGGTCTTCGCATCCGCAGAGCCAGCGAAACAAATGCTGTACGCATTGTCCTGCACGCGACCTGCACTCACACTCGCCCAGGCAATCAAGCGTTGATTCGGATTCGTCCATTTCTAAAATTGAAAACAGTATTTAAAGTGTGGGAGTTGGACAAAAAGTGAGGTAAACGCCAGGGGGTCTGGTGTTCTGAAAGGTAGGAAGAGGCATTTTCGGTCGGCCTCATTATCTAACAGCTGACTCCGTGAATACAGGAACAAAATATTATGTCAGGTGAGCATAGACCGATCCGGTTGATGTTCGACGACCTCACAGTTATGGCAGACAAACAATATCCACACTAATATCCACACTTGCAAGTGTGAGGTTAGGGAGTGGTGAGGCCCTAAAAGTACATTACATCAGCTCGGCAGCACTTCTATTGGAATCCAACAAGGTCGCTTTAAAACTACTGGTCTTTTGCACGCCCTTGACTTGGGAACAGTACACACGTTCATCAAAACGTCCATGTGATCAGAGGAATATAGATAACATACCAAACGTTCTGTATAAAATGGACCATCCTTTCACGCTTTAGGCATTACATTACCACATTATTTAAACGAATAGGCCAAGAAATTGGACAGTCACTCCAAGAAAGCTTGGAGGCATTTCCAAAGTCAAAGCGAAGTAGGCAGTTGAAGAGGCCAACTAGGCTTGAAACGAAATTACTTTGTTATGGCTTAAGTTGACTGATTTCAAACCACCCTACAAGATCCATTAAACAAGGAAACACCCAACGCCGTAGATCAGTAGGCTCTTTATGTGGCCGAATTTCGTTTAGTGTGCGGTACAGCAAGTCATAGTACGACAGACTTCAGTAGTGTGGTTCCACTCGGGGTTAGCCAGTTGCTTGTGCGTTACAGACATTAGGTAACAGAAAGTGTTGAGTTTGGCGGACTAAATATGATCCAAGCACCGAAGCACAGTAGATCCAGTTGCCATGATATAGTTTAGTACAGTTTTCCAAATGTGATCTGTGCACCGAGGTGCGGTGGATGCAGCCATTAAGACACACATCGTCAACGTAATTATGGTAATAATAGTAGTAATAACATTAATAGTGCAAGAAGAATGAGCAAGAAAATATATCGAACCGAGAGGTTATGGGTCAGTGGTATAAGGAAATGAATGCTCATCTGGAAATATACCCATTTATTTTTTAATTAGCACTACTGACTCCGCAACTGCACTATATTCAGTGGAGTATCTTAACAGTGACGTTGCTGATCCCGACGTTATATATTTAGGTAGAAGACAGCCACTTGGTGAGATTCCTCACACTCATTTACCAAATCACAGACTGACTACCTCGCGGTTTCACCCAAATGGGCGTGATACTTCAGAATAAAACACACCAACGCAGCCAGCTCGTTGATGTTCGGAGCCATTTAATCGAGCCCCGGAAAGAGATTCAAACATAACAAGCAGTTCAGCGCGGCACGAGGGGACTAAGTGCTAAACACTCGAGATGATGAACTGTAGCATGATTGACTCGGTTCCCCACCATACATAAACAACCATACGCACGCAACGATGGTCAAAAGGCAGTCAGCTTCGTAGGGTGATCAGCGTGCAGTGGCCAGTTGGTTGATCCGTAGAGTAGGCGTGGTCGCATCGCAGCGTTACTAACCCTTCTCTTAACTACTAAGTTTATATCCCACCGTAACGAAAGGTAGTGGGGGAATGTTATCAGCATGGGGAACGTTGCTAGGCTTCAAAATTTCATGCGGATGTTAGACGTATTAGGTGTCTGGATGTGTGTTGTTAACATCCCGGTTGGTTTCACTTCAATTGGGGAAAAGCGCTGACAGAGGACTGTTTGAACTCCTCCCTGGGATTCGCATTCGATATTTCAAGCGGACTGATCCGAGAACGAATCAGTTGTCCCTGTTTCTTAGCTACCGATCCACCTGGCTAAGCTTACTTGTGAATTTCACTTCTAAGTGTTGGAACATTACTCGGCCGCATTCATCTCATTGGCCCTTGCGTGGCACAAACTGTTGATGTGGTTTCCGTAATTTACGTAAACCCAAAAATGCACTATCAGGTACTATCACTCTCGATACTCAAACGAGTGCATCAGCACCGAACGTAAAATTTAGACGCATTCAATTAGCGAGACAATCAGTTATTGAGATACTGCTGATTGTGCGCTGAAGGTAACTTGATGCATAGCTTATTTACCACATTTGTTAGCGACAACTGACGTTACAAAGCTTAAGCCTTGGTCTGTAAGCGGACTGTGAACTCACGTGATGTGTGAGACCACTCAATTTTGCGGCTTCATCGGGGCTGAAAGAGTGTTGACATGTAATTAGCTATGATCGGAGGCTACACAAGTGATCCAGATCGGTCGATAACTTTGCACTCAGATGTGCTATTGGCAGCGGAGTCTAATATGCTTAACGCTGGTTCAGCGCTGCGCACCGTAGGAGACTGCCATTTGATGCGATGTAAACGCACGTTATGGAAAGCTGTGCCACCGATAAAATAGCTGTACTCAGCACACCATCGAAGAGACACATCGCCGCTATCGAGTAAAAAAGCATGGACGCCGAGATGGTGTTCCCCATCAGTAGATGACCCGCAGGTATTTCGTTCCTTTAGATGAGAGATTGATTTGCATATAGGATTCATTGTTGACAACCTCAGTGTCTCCAGACGTTATCTAGTAACTGTGATGCAGTTTCGAAACAGTGTAGATGCGGCCATATACTGAAACCAGGTTGAGTAGATTGGCTTCGTAGAATTATACTGCTACCAAATGCGCATCCGGAGGGACACGAGAAATAATCGTGGTCTGTATCAGCAAGGTAACCGGAGTTAAGACGCTGTCGGTTCGTCTGCGTGTTTCAGAGGCTCAATATACTTCAATACCAAACGTGTGCCAGAACCGGAGCTTCCACTATCATTGACCGAGTAGGGCATCGATAAACCACCTATAAATTGGTAGAAAAGTCCCATCTAAGTATCAGATTAATGTTCTAACTAAATGACTGATGCAATGAAAGGACTATATGGGGGCTGAAACTCGGATTCCCTCTACCACGGTATGTTCAGGTTGCATTGTACGTTTTGGTTAGATTTGCTCTGTTCGAATACTGATTGCATCTAATGAAGGGATGCTAAAGATGAACCAACCATGATGAACCACTAGGTAGAATCATGCTGTAGCATTTTAACCGTGGCACCGAACGGATGCTCATAGTAATGTATTCCCAGTACATAAGTCCAGGAATACGTTAGGAATGCAAGCTAACCCGGTTGATAATGCTCTAAATTAAAGTTAAACTGCATTATTTCCCTCTATGCATACAGCGCGGAGAAGTTCGAAAATACATGCAAGGCGATTAACGAGGACTGCATTATCTCATGTGGTACATTGTCAGTCGGCTGATCATTCAGGATCCCAATGAAATGGTTTTGCAATTGGAAGCCCCGATACAACTTTTAAGTTGACGCGCTGTTGAGGTACATTCTAAAGACCGCGACAAAGGAGCACAACATTTCACTCAGTGGATCACGTGCCTGTGGTCCAGCTAGCTGTACTGTCCAGTCGTTGACAATGTTCCCACCTGCGGACACCTAGGAAAACAAGACGCAGATTGGTGCCTTCAGTTCCGTAAATTGATCAGACCTCTGGGACTGTTTGAAACGTATTCCCCATCAATACGTAGCATCAGAGTGTCTTACGCGCGCAATCCGGGCAGAGTGGGATCTGACGGCAAGCTGTAGCCGTCCTTCAGTATCCCAAACACTGTGCGGCAAGGATGCCCACTGTCCCCCTAATTCAAATTCAACCTTGAAAAAGTCATGGAACCTACATTTACCGGACTCTATTGCTGGGCTGTACAGCTACTTCCAGATGACCGATCTAACTACAAGAGCTGTGACAGCTCACAAATGTGCCAAGTAACATATTACAGATAAGCACTAGCAGTCAATGGTTCCAGATTGTGCTTGGCACACTCAAAATAGGGAGCTTTCTTTCAGGCGTCGCATTTACCAAAGCCCTCCCTGATCAACAATGAGGATTGGCTAGAACTCTGTCAGGCATTCATTTGGTTTGGCGGTTATGTGAGCTTCTATGGAGTAGAAGATGTCACGAAAAGGACGGCAAAGGTTCGAGATGCGTTGGCCCAAGCTTGTCAACTGTGCCATCGGACCGAGCGTAGGGTCTACAATGCAGCCATCCATTCAACCCCACTTGATGGTTGTAAAACCATTTCATTCGATCGACTGAGATGAAGGGCTAGTTTCGTTCAATCACCGACATCATCGCTGTTAAACTCACATCTGGTGGGTATCCCACATAAGGAATGAGTGCATTCGTCTGCTTATTTAAAATTAATCATACCCTTATACTGGATTCATGTGTCACATGGAGACGGCGCATGAGTGAGGAACATATTCCACTTTTCTCCCGCTTTATCTCAATGATTAATGCACCTAGTGTTCTTCTGTGTGCTTGAATTCAACTCTTATTTTACACCAACATTACGAGGGCGATGCAATAAAATTTCGGATACGCAGTACACAGATTCCATCGCAATGAGGCTGGACATTACCGTGGTGCGGTGGTTTGTGTGCCTTAGTGACCCATTGAGCTATGATGGCTGGTGCATTTTTGCACTTTCTGAGCCACTCATACCAGATTGGTCAATGGTTAGAGGACAGACAAACTCAGCCTCCTGGTCCTCCAGGTTGGAACTTGGAAAGAGGGTGGCTTCTTATTCCTTAAAACGGACTCCTTGTAGCCCAACACCAAACCTGCTGCCTTGCGGTCAGCTTTGGTTGAGAACCCTAGTCGTTCTCCTATCTAGGCCTAGGCAACCTGACAGTATCCTGTTCACTCAATCCTATGAAACTTTTCTAAAACAATTTCCTGCTGCTCTGGCCATCGAAGAGGATAATCAACGGTGCCCTATCTGCTGCATCGAGCAGGGTAGATAGGGGTTTGGGTGCTACTGCTCAAGCCTTCCCGTCTTCTTCTTCCCCCTCTTGCGCTTTCCACCCTTATCATCACGTTACAGCTTCACTTTTATCCCCCCTGTTTCCAACCCCCAATTCCTGA